CCAATTTTTATACCTTTCTAGGGCTTCAGTAATTCTACCAGTTATTACTTTTATAACTTCCTAGAGGTTTTTTTTTTTAAGATTTTATTTATTTATTTGAGAGAGAGAGAATGAGATAGAGAGCACAAGAGAGGGGGGAGGGTCAGAGGGAGAAGCAGACTCCCTGCCGAGCAGGGAACCCAATGCGGGACTCGATCCCGGGACTCCAGGATCATGACCTGAGCCGAAGGCAGTCGCTTAACCAACTGAGCCACCCAGGCGCCCTAGAGGGTTTTTTTTTAAGATTTTATTTATTTATTTGACAGAGAGAGCACGATTGGGGGGGGCAGCAGGCAGAGGGAGAAGCAGACTCCCCACCGAGCAGAGAGCCCAACGTGGGGCTCGATCCCAGGACACGGCTCAGGTCGTGATCCCAGGGTCCTGGGATCAAGTCCCAGATCAGGCTCCCTGCTCAGCGGGAGGCCTGCTTCCCCCTCTCCCACTCCTCCTGCTTGTGTTCCTGCTCTCGCGCACTCTCTCTCTCTCTCTCTGTCAAATTAATAAATAAAATCTTTAAAAAAAAAAAAAAAGCTCAGGTTGCAGGTTCGGGCCAGAGACATGGGATCAGGTCGCACAGCTCTGAGGATTCAAAACTGAGGATCATTAGCCCCAGTGCCGTTTATATAAAGTTTTCTTGTTACCTTGGGTAGCTTTTGAGTTTCTTTCTTTTTCTCTTTCTCGTTTATTCTTTCTTTCTTCTTTCTTCTTTTTCTTTTTCTCTTTCTCTTTTATATGCTTTAAAGAAAAACTCATTATGGAAAATGTCAAACAAATACAAAAGTAAATACAGTTTATAGACTCTCCATGAACCCACTACTCAACTTGAACAATTTCAACTCATGACTACTGATTCTCCTCCCTTATTATTTTGAAGCAAATCTCATACATGATAGAATGTCATCTGAACTGTTTCAGTATGATACTCTAAAAGATTAAGGATTTTATTTTTTGGAAAGATTTTTTTAAAAGATTTTATTTATTTATTTGAGAGAGAGAATGAGAGATAGAGCACGAGAAGGAAGAGGGTCAGAGGGAGAAGCAGACTCCCCGCCGAGCAGGGAGCCCGATGTGGGACTTGATCCCGGGACTCCAGGATCATGACCTGAGCCGAAGGCAGTCGCTTAACCACCCAGGCACCCTGTAAAGATTTTTTTAAGTAATCCGTACACCCAACGTGGGGCTGGAACTTACATCCCCAAGATCAAGCGTCACATTCTCCATGACTGAGCCACCCAAGCACCCCAAGATTAAGGATTTTAAACCACAGTGCCATCATCACAGCTAAAATTTTTTAATAACCATTCCTTAATATTGAATATCCAATGTGTTTGAATTTTCAATTTGAATAAATGTTCCATAAATGCCAACTAAAAATTTTTCAGCTTGTTTGAATCAAAATACAAACAAAATCTAATATATGTAACTGATTTATATACAGATACTAATTTTTGAAACTTGGTGTCTTTCTTAGCGATGGTACATTCAACTTTTTTATGGGCCATCAATACCTGAGCTATTGTCCTTTCATTATGAGAAAGACCTGGTCTGTTGGCACTAGTAAAACCCATTATTGGGCGCCTGGGTGGCTCAGGTGGTTAAGCGTCTGCCTTCAGCTCAGGTCATGATCCCGGGGTCCTGGGATCGAGTCCCACATCGGGCTCCCTGCTGGGCGGGGAGCCTGCTTCTCCCTCTGCCTCTCTCTCTCTCTCTCTCTCTCTGACTCTCATGAATAAAAAATAAAACATTACAAAAAAAAAATCCTACAGCCAACAACATTAAAAAAAAACCCATTATTAACTTATAATTGGTAAGGTCGTGAAAGTTTCACATATACCCTTCTGTGCCCTTCCCCTGAGAGAGGATCTCAAACCTGGCTGTACATTAGAATCTGGACATCTTTTTTTGTTGTTGAGATAAAATACACATAACATAAAATTTATCATGTTAACCATTTTTAAGTGGACAGTTCGGTAGCCTTAAGTACATTCATTTTGTTGTGCAACCATCACCACCATCCATCTCTAGAATCTCTTCATCTTGTAAAACTGAAACTGTGCACATTAACTGATAACTCCTCTTTCTTCTTTTCCCCCAGCCCCTGGCCACCACCATCCCACTTTCTGATTCTGAATTTGACCACTCTAGGGACCTCCTACAAGTGGAATCTTACAGTACTTGTTGTTTTGTTTTTTGGCTTATTTCACTTAATATAATGTCCTCATGGTCCATCCATGTTGTACCCTGTGTCAGAATTTCCTTCCTTTTTAAGGCTGGGTAATATCCCATTGTATATAATACCCCACATTTTGTTTATCCACTCATCCATTAATGGACACTTGGGTTGCTTCCATCCCTTGACTATTGTCAATAATGACACTATGAACACGGGTGTTCAAATATTTCTTTAAGACTCTGCTTTCAATTTTTTTGGGATACATACTCAGCAGAATTGCCAGATCTTTATTTTTTTAAGATTATTTATTTATTTGAGGGGCGCCTGGGTGGCTCAGATGGTTAAGCATCTGCCTTCGGCTCAGGTCATGATCCCGGGGTCCTGGGATCGAGTCCCGCATCGGGCTCCCTGCTCCTTGGGAGCCTGCTTCTCCCTCTGCCTCTCTCTCTCTCTCTCTCTCTCTCTCTCTGTCTCTCATGAATAAATAAATAAAAATTTAAAAAAGATTATTTATTTATTTGAGAGAGAGAGAGCATGAGCGGCGGGGGGAGGGGCACAGGGAGAAGCAGACTCCCTGCTGAGCAGGAAACCAACAGGGCGCTCTATCCCAGGACCCTAAGATGACCTGAGCCAAAAAGCAGCTGCTTAACTGACTGAGCCACCCAGACGCTCTTTGCCAGCTCTTTTTTGAGGGCCTGTCACACTGTTTTCCATAGTGGCTGCACCATTTTACATTTCTACCAACCGTGCACAAGGGTTTCAATTTCTCCATATCTTCATCAACATTTGCTATTTTCTGTTTGTTTTTTTTTTAACAGTAGCTATCCAAATGAGTGTGATTTTTGTGGTTTTGTGGTTTTCCCATTGTGGTTTTGATTTGCATTTCCCTAATAGAGATGTTGAGCATCTTTTCATGTACTTGTTAGCCATTTGTGGTGTTCTTTGGAGAAATGGTTGTTGGATTCCTTTGCCCATTTTTCAGTCAGTTTGTTACTTTTATGATTGTTAAGTTGTGAGAGTTCTTTATCCTGAATAAGAATCCCTTATTATAGAATCTGGGGATCTTTTGTGATGGGACCTGTAGCTCAGTATTTTTATTTTATTATTTTATTATCTATTTATTTATTTATTTTCGTAGCCCGGTATTTTTTTAAGTTCCTCAGGTTGAAAAGAATTTTCTTAGGAGATGAGGTAATAAGTATGTTGAAGCTAGTTCTCATCAGGACAAATGAGTGCATCATCAGCTAGAACAGGGTTGACATCTCCTCCTACCTGGGTACTCTATGTATTTATCCGTGCTGTACAGGCATGGTAACCCTCCTTTCCCCAGGGTCACTGGGCTCACAGTTTCCTCCTTGCACAGAGAGAAATGAGTTCATATTTCTGTTCATAGTTCATATTCTAGAAGTAGAGGAATAAGAGATGAATCAAAATATCCATATATTTACACCTTCCTATTTATAAAAATCATCAAAATTATACATATCTATTCTCATCACCTATCTAGTACATCTCCTACCTCTAGTACCTGTAGGGGAGTGTACCTTTTTGAAGATTTTATATTAACTTTCTAGTTTGAATCATTTAGGGACTCACAGCTTTCCCCACACATTTCACTTAAGCATAATGATTGTTATAGATTTTAGGGTGCTCAAATCATCACAGCTTTGAAAATGGTAGTCCGTTTAATTAGGATATTTGTCTTTGTAATACTACCCCGACATCCTTGAAAATATCCTGGTTTTCTGGTATCAACAGGATGCTTGTACATTTTTCTTGTCTAAGAAATGGAATCAGCTGGGGCGCTTGGGTGGCTCAGACGTTAAGCGTCTGCCTTCGGCTCAGGTCATGATCCCAGGGTCCTGGGATCGAGCCCCACGTCAGGCTCCCTGCTCAGCGGGAAGCCTGCTTCTCCCTCTCCCACTCCCCCTGCTTGTGTTCCTTCTCTCACTGTGTTTTTCTCTGTCAAATAAATAAAATCTTTAAAAAAAAAAGAAAGAAAGAAAGAAAGAAATGGAATGGAATCAGCTACCCTCCAAGGACCCCTGGTTATTTTATTTTTTTTAAGATTTTATTTACTTATTTGAGAGAAAGAGAATGAGAGATAGAGAGCACGAGAGGGAAGAGGGTCAGAGGGAGAAGCAGACTCCCTGCTGAGCAGGGAGCCCGATGTGGGACTCGATCCCGGGACTCCAGGATCATGACCTGAGCCGAAGGCAGTCGTTTAACCAACTGAGCCACCCAGGCGCCCCGGACTCCTGGTTATTTTAATGGTAAATAATATAAGACGCCAATATCTGGGCATTAGGGGTATACATGGTAGTTAGTGTGTGTGGGGGGTACTGGACCTCACCTGGTAGTGACAGAGTTGGAAAGAATTTTGTTCAAGATACAAGTTTATATTTGATCTTTCTGATTTGACATAGCAGTGCTATGCCCCACCGTCCTGATCGTCTGTGGACCCCCTGGTCACACTGACAGTCCTTTGAGGCTGCCTTTACCAATATCCCCACCTTACAGCTGAACAAACAGACTGCAAGAAGTTAGGTAACTTGTCTAAAATCACACTGCAACCAAGTGCAGAGCTGCCCAGCTCTGTCAAATTTCAGCAACCGGGTCCCCACAAAGCCCTGCCTCAACCTCCACCTGCTGTCAGAAACACAGAACTCTGTCATTTGCAAAGATTCTCCACCAAGTTGCCCCATTTAAGATTCCCAAGGCAGGGTTTTCCTAGTCTTGGGTGGAGGGAGGAGAAAACACTACCCAGATTCTTCTTTTCCTCCTGCAGGATTCGGGAGTGAGAATGACCAGAAGAGCCCTCCACGAGAAAGGTCTGAAGACAGAGCCCCTCAGGAGGCTCCTTCCCAGAAGGGGCCTCCGGACAAATGCCCGGCCGGGTTCCGCGGTGCTGCCGGACACCAGAGCTCCTGGGGGAGGAAGCAAGGCCCCGAGGGCACCCAGGACGATCCCCCAGGGGAAGGGGAGGTGAGCTGGCTCCCCAGGCAAGGCGAGGCCCTTGGGTCTCTCTTGGCCGCCCCAAGATCCAGCCACTGACCCGTGCCGCGAGGGTGGAAAGAGCCTCCCAGCCCTACAGCTACCGTAGGCACTTCGGGCCCGAGCGGCCCTCGCCCGCCTCGAACCTAAGGTCACAGCACCCATCTTGCTCGCCACAGACCCCCGCACAGTGAGCGGGCCCACCGGCACCCCAAGTGTGCAAAGGGCTTGGGCACACCTCGGACCTCACCCAGCGCCTGAGGACGCTTCGCCGCCAGAGGCCCGGGCCGCACTGGAGTGCGGGGTGGGCGCCGGGACCGCAGCGGCCACCTCCTCCCGCACCAGCGTGCCCACCCCCGCGTCCGCCGGCCTCCAGCCTCCCGCGACGCCCTGGCCGGCCAGCCCTAAGGCCGCGTCGCCCCCAGACCCCGGGAGGCCCACGCACGCGCGGAGACCCTGCCCCCCCAGCCACCGAAACCCCATCTCCGGCCCCAAGCCCCATCTCCACCCCCACCCCAAACCCCACCTCCCCCACCTCCTCTGCACCTCCCACCGCCACCCCAGCCTCACCCACGGCAGGCCCACGGAGGCCGGGGCCGCGGGCAGGGTTACCTCAAGCACCAGAGGATGCGCTCCAAGAGCTTCTACCCGGTGCCAACCTCACCAGTCCCCTGGGAACCCCTGTGGGACAGAGGCCTTTCTGCCCTGGCCCCCGCCCGCCTCACAGCCTGGCCCCGCCGTCCTAGGCTAGTGGGGAGGGCCTGAGGCTTCTGACAGAGCCCAGAGACCTGGAACATCCTCGCCTGGAGAAGGCCAGGGACACATGAGCCCTGTGAGTGGTTCCAAGGGCTTTCACCAAGCTCTTCCTTCCCAGGTCCACTGCTGGGCCTGTCATATTAGTAAATTATGTCTCCCGTTTATTGAGAGCTTACTCTGTGCCAGGGATTGCGATTTACAGCGATGATCTCATTTAATCCTCACAACATCCCAGTGACACCGGTGTTCTCATTATCGGCGTTTTACAAATGGAGAAACTAAGTCTCAGAGAGGTTAAGGGACCTGCCCAACCTCACACAGCCAGTATGTAGGGAAGCAGCTCACAGCCCCGGGTCAGCCTGCCTGATTCCACGGCCCGGCCTGCGGCAGCGCCCCTGCTCATACAAGAGTTAAAGGTGCAGCTTTGACAGGGCATCCAATTACGGAGCAATTACATAAAACTGTATACTAAAATAAGCACTCTCTGGAATGAGATTGCGATAAAATTTGAGCCTTCAGATAGTTCACACTGAGACCAAAGCTTCAGGCTCAACCCATGGATCCCTGAAGTAACCTTTTCTCAGACCTCTGCCTTTAGAGGGATGTTGGCCAAGGAAGCTCTACTCCAGGACCTGCTCCTGTGCAGAGACTCCCTGGAAGCCAGGAAAGATGGACTCTCCATAGTTTGCCATCCCACTGGGCTGCTTGGGAAGTTCATCCAGTTCCTCTGGGCTAGGGTATCCAATTTCCCAACAGATACTCATCTTCAGGATTTGGAAATGAGAAATTGGAATTCTTGGGAATTCCTGAAATCATACTATCCTGTATTTTTCATAACTTTCTGTATTTTTTAATAAATAAGAGTCGTACAAAGAACTGTAGGCTATAGCAAATATTAAAAAACCGAAAAATACCAGAGAACATTATTGGGTAGCATTTGAGTAACAAAATGTTTAAATCTTCAACAAGATATCTGTACCACACAGCAGTATGTGTTGAAATTGCCAATTTGAGGACTAGTTTGTTTCCAAAATTAGATTCTTGTAACATCATTCATAGGATTTGTATGAGATATATGATGCACGTAAACAGATTAATACTGTTTGTGAGAATGACTGTTTACAGCAGATAGGGCCACAGATCCACTTGTGATATGGCAACAGCTATGAAAAAGAATGATTAGACTGTGACCACTTCTCCTTTTTAAACAAATATTTATTTATTTAAGTAATCTCTACACCCACCGTGGGGCTCGAACTCATGAAGCTGAGATTAAGAGTCACACACTCCTCTGACAGAGCCAGCCAGGCACCCCCACTTCTCTCCTTCTGATCCAAGTCCCCAACATGTTTACCTTAATCTTGGACTCCGTATATCATCATTTCCTTCTCATGCTTTCTACTTGATGTCAGTGATTCTTTCATACCAGGAATGCCTCTATGTTTACTGTTAAGCATGAATTCTCACAGGAGAATTATAACACTTTTCCCTATTTTCCCAATCTCTTGACTGATTGGTCTTGGGACTCAGAAAAACATAGATTTCCCAGAAAATGTCAGGAAGGACTTCCTGCATAGAAATACTATTCCGGGCTGAACAAGATTGGCAAGGCAATTCTGCTACAGAAATAATTACCTAGTATCTCATCAGACCCAGTCACCAGTGCTTCCTGGTTTCAGGGGCCTCAGAGCCAGAAGATCCAACTGTGGATCTCAGCTCTGCCAGTTTCTGGGTGTGAGACTTTGGGCAAGTCCCTTTACCTCTCTGAGCTTCCATTCAATGGATAAGATGGTGCCTGGAAATAATATACTTGTTTTGTGAGGCGATATTGTAGAAGGGTTAAAAGTGTGGCTTTAGAGTCAGATGGTCTGAGGTTTGAATCTGTTACTTACTACCTCTTTGATTTGGGGCAAGTTCTAGCCACTCTGAGCCCCATTTTCCTCCTCTGTAAAATGGAAAAGCTGAGCCTACTTCATAGGATTTGGGTGAGTTTAAATGAGATCACGTATGGAAATGCTTCACACGGAGCATGGTACAGTGTAAATGCTTGATAAACGAGGAGCAGAGTAGTTATTGTCTGCTGTATCTACCTCACAGGGCCGTTGTGAGGACAAAAGGGAGGTTATGTTGTGGGGTTGCTTTCTAAGCTGTGAAGTGGTGTCCACGTTCTTTCCTTTCCTTCAGAGATGGGATGGTCAGAAGCTACTGGCAGATATTGGAGCTGTCTCCAAGTAAGAGGCCTGGGGCTACTTCCTGATATCCACGGAAGATACCTGTATGGGGGAGAGGTGTTACCATGGTTACCTGAAAAACAGGGTTTAGTTGCGATCAAGCGGGCAAACTCTGGCATCATCTGACTTGGGGCACACTTGGGGGGTTGGGGGGGAGGATGATTTTCAGAAAGAGGCTTTGGAGAAAGGACTGTGTTAAATGGAGCCTGCCCACTATAGGTTTGTTTAATAGGGATTGGATCAGGGGAAGGGGACGTGGAAAAGAAGGTGACAAGGGGGCTCTTTGACTATTGTCTGAAGCCCTGTCATTGACTAAACCCAAGAAACGATCCTATTAGCTGGAACCAGTGCATCCTGCCCCTGCTGTGCATGACCTATGATGTTCATTCATCCCTAAACAGTAGACCAAACATGGATCAAAGGGCTTTCCAGAGATGAGCTTCTGTAATCCTGACAGCAGCCCTGTAAAGAGAATACTAGCACTACTCCCATTTTGCAGACGGGGGCTCGGGGTCTGGGAAAGTTAAGTCCATTGCCCAAGGTCACACAGCCTATTTGTGGTTGAGTCAAGATTCCTCTTGTCTTGAGACAAGAGTCCAAGCCCTTAGTCCCCACCAGGCCACCTCAGCTCATGAGATGCCAGGTGCTGAGCTTGAACAAGGAAAAAGGAAACACAAATGTATGGAGTTTGGCGCCTAACTGGCTTCCTCGCTTATCTTCTGTGACAACTCTCTCTCTCTCTCTCTCTCTCTCTCCCGATATTACTCCTACTTTTCCGGACACTGTTTCTTTGCTTCCAGAGACATTTTTCTCTGCGTAGCCCTGAAGTCTGGGTCCTCCCAGCCCCATTCCTTGGACTCTTTTCTCTTTCTTTTGCACATACAGGTCTGTGAGGGATCTTCCTGTTGCCCACAGCTTCAGCTACTGGTCATCTCTTTAATCCAAACTGCCCCTCCGAGCACCAGCCTGATCCAGCCAACCGCCTCCTTGACATCCCCCTCTGAGGTTCCAGGCTCTCAGCTGAATTCTTCATCTCTCCCTTAGCATAAGTCTTCCCTCTGAGTTCCCCTTCTTCCTTACCACGGCCTCTTAGTTTCAAGTACTGGTGTAGCGATAGGGAATCCAAGAAGCCTGCACAGACAGCCTCATGAATCTGTTCCTGCAGCTAGACGTGGACTGTAAGGTGTGTTCTCTGAGAGCTGCCAACAATTTAGGGGTGCACTTGGAGAGTGGAATTCATCATTTAATCCGCTGTGTCCTAAGTGCCCAGCAGTGTGTCAGGTCCAGTAGCGGGGTAGAGGATACATTCAGGGGTGAAACAGATGGGATCCCTGGGTTTAGGGAGCTTTCAGGCTACTAGAGAAGATGGGCATTAGGAATCCTCCCAAAATACGAAATCTTACAAACTGTGATAAGTAACATGAAGGAAAAGTTCAGGGAGCTACGAAAGAATATAATAGGTCTGTATTAGGTTCGAGTGGGGGTCAAAGGCCATTTTGAGAAATGATAATTACTATATCCTTGAGAACTGAGTTGGGGGGAAGAGAATTCCATATAGAGGCAATAGTAGGTGTGGGCATGAAGACCCAGACGTGGGCAAGAACTTGGTATGTTGGGGAAACTGTAAGGCAGCCACGTCAATGGAGCTGAGTATGCTGGCCATGAGGACTGGTCAAGATAAGACTGGACAGTCTGGCTGGGGGTGGTGGCAGGTGCCTTGTGGGCCATGGTAAGGAGCCTGGATTTTTTGGTTTGACTTTTTATTTGGAAATAATTTCAAAGTTATAGAAAAGTGAATAGTACAATGGACATCTGTCTGTCCTCTATCCCAAATTCATGTGTTAAATTACTAATTCTTTATCTATATGAAGCGTTACAGGTGACTTATTCTGAACTATCTGAGAATAAATTGCATAGATCACATTCCTTTACCCCTAAACAGTTAACAAAAACAGTTATCCACTTCACTAAATTTAACATTAATGCAACACAGTATCTCATTTACCAC